TACACAATACAAGTGAAAAGTGTGTGTGTGTGTGTGGCAGAGGTGTCCACTTACATAGGCAGCCTCCAGCTTCCACAAACAGGGTATAGTTCCAAGTGCTGAGAAGCCTCCGAAGGCACTCCCTCAACTGACGCTGCAGGTTATAGCGAGAGCACCACCCAACAATGGATCTGGACCAAACTTGCCATGGATGATTGGACTTGCAGTACCCTCACTTACTTCCAGAGACCATTGCAACCCCCACGCATGATGGACCTGGACTAAACTTGCCACACAGATCCCCCCCCCCCCCCCAGATTCTCCATGATGCATTCTTTGTCCTGGTGTGGGTTGGGGGAGGATTGACCAGAGACAATGGGATTAGCAGTATCTTCACTCATTTCCAGAAACCACAATGACCCCCACAAATGATACATTGGAAACCACAACAACCCCCCACAAATAATGCATTGCCGCATAAACTCCCTAAGACGTACTTCATGTCCTGCTGAGGGTTAGGGGAGGATGGACCACAGATGATGGGATATGCACTTCCACAGACCCCTGTGACCTCCCCCTCACCCCTGAAATGAAGGGCCTGGACCAAACTTGGCAGACAGATGCAACATGGAAAGTTGTGAATACTGGCAGGGTGATTGCCCTGGGAATCTGAGAGTTGTTCACTGTTATCCAGAGAACACTAAACCCAGTCGATAATGGATTTGGACCAAATTTGGCACACAGACCCAACATGGCCAATAATGGCAGGGTTTGGGAAAGATTGACCCACAATTCTGGGAATTGTAGTGCAAATCCCATCATCTGTGGTCCATATCCTTATGCATTTTCTAATGGGAGCATTCATAAAAACCAAAAGCAAAGAGTGGCGTTTTCTCATGAATAGTGTTATACATTACCAAACTGATATTACCAAACTTTGAAAAACAAACAATGTCTTTCTCAAATAACCTGGGCACCACTGGGTTCCCAAGATGATAGTAGTAGTAGTAGTAGTAGTAGTAGTAGTGTTGTTCATTCGTTCAGTCGTCTCCGACTCTTCGTGACCTCATGGACCAGCCCACGCCAGAGCTCCCTGTCGGCCGTCACCACCCCCAGCTCCTTCAAGGTCAATCCAGTCACTTCAAGGATGCCATCCATCCATCTTGCCCTTGGTCGGCCCCTCTTCCTTTTACCTTCCACTTTCTCCAGCATAATTGTCTTCTCTAGGCCTTGCTGTCTCCTCATGATGTGGCCAAAGTACTTCAACTTTGTCTCTAGTATCCTTCCCTCCAATGAGCAGTCGGGCTTTATTTCCTGGAGGATGGACTGGTTGGATCTTCTCGCAGTCCAAGGCACTCTCAGAACAGTAGTAGTAGGAGGAGGAGTAGTATAATCATTATAATAATAATTATAATAATAACAACAACAAGAACTTTATTTATGGACCTCCTTGTTTCCCCAAAGAGACTCAGGGCGGTTTCCAACATATTTGATGATAATAATATAGTAATAATAATACTTTATTTATAGAAGGCCTCCAGGGGGACTCAAGGTGGTTTACATACAAGAAAAGCAAACATTCAATGCTCAACTCAAATACATACATTTTTTTAAAAAAAACAGAATAATGCAAAAATAATAACCACAAACTTATTACAAAAGAAAAATTTACACCAAAATGAGGACCAAATATAAATAATTGAATAAACCTAATTATACTAATAACATAACCATTTAGACATAAATCCTAGAAAAGACAATTAAAATACATTAAAATGTCCATCAACGTTGTTCTTCTCACGTACCATAGCAGCAGTGGAATCCAGATAGGTTAGCAAGCATTCCGGTGGAACTAAAATGACCTAATCCTCTTCTTCCTATATGGCAAACATTCAATGCCAACTAGAAGGCATATAAACAAGTCAAATCAAAACAGAACATATCGAACAATATAAAATAGCCTAACTATAAACTTAATAACAGAAAAAAATAATCAAAAACAAAACTTGAATAACCCAAACGGACATAATCACAGAGTGTAAATTTACCACAGGATAAAACGTCTAAAATTAACAACCTTATTGAGAGCGTATCTAATTCACATGAATGGTGTAGTCCTGAACGTGTGTATTAGGGAATAAAACCTGTTGAGCTCCAGGGCCCTTACTTTTGATAAATCAAGCAGCAGTGTTGAAATTTCCATAATGTGAAGCAGCCTTTGTGGGCTCTTCCTGTGGTCTTCCCCGCTCCACACCTTACATTGTCTTTCACTTTGAATTATCTTTCATTTTGTGTTATCTCTCGCTTTGTATCTGGTGGAATATGCTTAATCTCCTGGTGTGTTGTGAGGTATCTAGCAGTAGTGAAGAACGCAAAGATGCAATAGGACATAGGAAGTGGCAGGGGAGGAGGACTGGAAGACTGCCAGGTTATGTCAGTCTATTTGCCAGGATCTGGCTCCATTCAAAAAAGAACTCTGATGGGCATAGGCTGCCTTATGAGCTTTATCTCAGAGCTTGCAGAAGTAGCCTCTTCAGATGACCATCCCTAGCTTTAAAAAATACTATGTGTTTCATTATGGATGAGAAATGCTGGTCCACCAAATGACTCCTGTGAACGGCCATCAGTGTCGAACCTCTAGATCAGTGGTTCCCAACCTGTGGGCCATGGCCAACTGGTGGGTCGTGAGACCGAAAATTAAGTCCACGGCTCTAGATTATTAAATATGGTTTTCTGTGGGCAAGCAGATGGCGACTACTGGATGGCAAATGTTCTGTATCAGAAACTAGTGCTGATGTAGTCTATCCATTCCAGTGCAATTTTCTGAATCAGCAGCCCAAATAACCAAACTGAATCTAAAGTTGACCAATGATTCGTAACCCCTTTAGTACTAATGTTGGAGAGTGGTCCCTAGTCAAAGTGATCCCAGGTCAAAAAAAAGATTGGGAACAGCAGCTCTAGATCAGTATTTCTCAACCTGAGGTTTAGGACCCCAGCAGTGCCTTTCATGTTCCTTTATGTCTCTTTAGATCAGTGTTTCTTAACCTGGGAGTTGGACCCATGAGGGGGGGGGGTGTCATGAGGAGGTATCTGGGGGCAGGCCCGTAGCCAGGATTTTATTTCGGGGGAGGGGGTGGCTGAGTCTGAGTGAAAGAGGGTCTACCCTAGCAAACCTTTTGTATCGTTACCCCAATACCCCCATGCATATGGGATATATTGAGCATGGTAATCAGATCATGATATGAATGAACATAACAGTTTAAATAATGTACCAGTAAGGCCTTCTTGCGGACCACCATCAGAATTTCGGGGGGGGGGCTGAAGCCCCCCAAGCCCCACCCCCCTCTGGCTACATGCCTGTCTGGGGGGTCACCAAAGACCATCAGAAAACAGAGTATTTTCTGTTGATCACGGGGTTCTGTGAGGGAAGTTTGGCCCAATTCTATCATTGGTGGGGATCAGAATGCTCTTTTATTGTAGGTGAACTATAAATCCCAGCAACTACAGCTCCCAAATGTCAGGGTCTATTTCTCCCAAACTTCACCAGTGTTCACATTTGGGCATATTGAGTACTCGTGCCAAGTTTGGTCCAGATCTATCATTGTTTGAGTCCACAGTGCTCTTTGGATGTAGGTGAACTACAACTCCAAAACTTAAGATCAGTGCCCACCAAACCCAGTATTTTCTGTTGGTCATGGGAGTTCTGTGTGCCAAGTTTGGTTCAATTCCATCGTTGGTGGAGTTCAGGATGCTCTTTGATTGTTGTGAACTATAAATCCCAGCAACTACAAGCTCAAATGACAAAATCTAGTTGCTGGCAGGCATGTAGCCGGGGGGGTGGCCTTGAAGGGCTTCACCCCCCCCCCGAAATTCTCATGGTGGTTCGCGAAAAGGCCTTACTGGTGCATTATTTAAACTGTTATGTTTATTCATATCATGATCTGATCACCATACTCAATATATCCCATATGCATGGGGGTATTGGGGTAATGATTCAAAAGGTTTGCTAGGCTAGACCCTCTTTCACTCAGACTCAGCCCCCCCCGAAACTCAGCCCCCTCGAAAAAACTCACCCCCCCCCCCCCCCGAATCAAAATCCTGGCTACGGGCCTGCCCCCAACCCCACCAGTATTCAAATTTGGGCAAATTGGGTATTTGTGCCAAATTTGGTCCAGTGAATGAAAATACATCCTTCATATCAGATATTTACATTATGATTCAGAACAGTAGCAGAATTATAGTTATGAAGTAGCAGTGAAAATAATGTTAAGGTTGGGGGTCATAACAACCTGAGAAACTGTATTAAGGAAAGTTGAGAAACACTGCTCTAGATGGACCCGGCACCTCGTTGCTAGTGAGCATATGGACCTCTTTCTTGTTTTGCTTTGGCACTTTCCATCTTTTGCACTCTCTTTTTTTTTTTTGGTTTTGGCATCAATTTTTTTTAGTGGTTTTGGCATCGATTTTTTTTTGTAGTGGCATCAAATTGCTACCAAATGTAAGCTGTCCTGAGTCCCCCTTCGGAGGTTGAGAAGGAACGGGATAGAAATATTGGAAATAAATATGTTTGTTTGTTTTGCTTTCACTCCAGACCTCAGAGACACTAGGCTGATCAATTTCCAAATCTAGATTTGGATATGCTTTCCCATGGTTTTCTTAATGGGAGTCCTGGATTAAACTTGCCTTGAACAGGAGTGAGAAACATGCTGTTCCGAATGTGTTGGATTACAATTAGGATTCCTTGTTGGAGCTGCAGTCCCAGACCATCAGGAGGGCCTCATGGTGTACATTCCTAGCCTAGTCTATTATTTGAACCATACCTGCTCAAGTATACGTAAATTAGAGAACCTTTTGGGCAGCTAAGGGACAATGTGATCTTCCCTTTAGCAACAGCATTAGGTCCCCAATGCAGAACCAGATTGGCTAGGTGCTCTTCATTGATTAGACCGAAAATGCTGCAAAATGTTGACAGTGTTTGTTCAGCAGACTAAACTCCCTCTTCTTCTTCTTCTTCTCCACAGAGAACTCAAGTGTAACAGCAGGAGCAGCAAAGCAGAAGGTAAGCTGGGCACTGTGGATGTTGTCTTTCCCTCCCACTCTTCCTTCGTGAGGCAGCAGTGAAACAAATGCATGTGGAGGCAGCTGCAGGGCCTTTCTACACACGCTATTCGTCACACAATAAATACACATTCCCTTTCTTGCATTGCGCTTCATCTGTCCATTTTGGCGATTCCTTGGGAAGGGGGTTGTGTGTGTGGTTGCTTCACAGATAGTGCCACAACACTCCTGGAAAATCTGGAATGCAGTCATATCCACATCACAAGCACATTGAGACGCAATAGCCCTTCTCTGTTGTGAGAGCGATTGCTGCGTTCTCTGGAAGGTCCCTTTGTTTTATTCTATACCCACATGTCCCAAAATGCAGGGACACACTACCCAGTTTTTTTTAATTGGGATATCACCACATTTTTCTGCTCATCTCTTCAATAACAATTTACCCCTTTAGCACTTCAACCTAATCAGACCTTGTCTAAATTAAAGTGGGACCTGGTTGTGAAGTGATTTATAGTTTCCAAATCACGACCTCCCTGATTTGCTGCAAACTGGCAGGTCCCAAAATGCAGGGACACACTACCCAGTTTTTTTTAATTGGGATATCACCACATTTTTCTGCTCATCTCTTCAATAACAATTTACCCCTTTAGCACTTCAACCTAATCAGACCTTGTCTCAATTAAAGTGGGAGCTGGTTGTGAAGTGATTTATAGTTTCCAAATCATGGCCTCCCTGATTTGCTGCAAACTGGCATGTCCCAAAATGCAGGGACACACTACCCAGTTGTTGTTGTTTTTAAATTGGGATATCACCACATTTTTTCTGCTTATCTCTTCAATAACAATTTACCCCTTTAGCACTTCAACCTAATCAGACCTTTTCTAAATTAAAGTGGGACCTGGTTGTGAAGTGATTTATAGTTTCCAAATCATGACCTCCCCGATTTGCTGTAAACTGGATAGCAAGTGTCCCAGAAGCAAGCAAAAATACAACAGAATAATAATAATAATAATAATAATAATAATAATAATAATAATAATAAAAAAAAAACCTTTATTTGAACCCCGCTACCATCTCCCCAAGGGACTCGGTGCGGCTTACATGAGGCCAAGCCCACAACACATCAATAAACAAAGGCGATAACAAATAATCAATACCAAGTTAAAATAAAACTCAAAAACAAAAAATACACAATAAGCAATAAACAATAACATACCGCATTTAAAGAAACCTATGGCCAAGCCAAATGTAATAATTAAAATATGAAATTTAAAATGCTGGGGCATGAACAAGGTAGGGTAAACTAGGATAGGATTTTCAAAGAAAGAAGAGGGCGCGCAGGCAATCCTAATCAATATTAAAGTGCATGGAAACATGGAATGTTGGCTACAGTGTATTAAAACTGGAGCCTTTGAAATAGAAAAATGGGTGGAAAAATTGATATATTGCCATAGTGCAGTGGTTCTCAACCTGGGATCCCCAGATGTTTTTGGCCTACAACTCCCAGAAATCCCAGCCAGTTTACCAGCTGTTAAGATTTCTGGGAGTTGAAGGCCAAAAACATCTGGGGACCCCAGGTTGAGAACCACTGCCATAGTGGCTGTGAGGATTCTGGGACTTCTAGTCCACTAAAGGAATAATAGAATCTTAGAGCGAGAAAGGGCCACCTTTTTTGCACCCGTCCTCCTCCTCCTCCTCTTCCTCCTCCTCCTCCTCCTCCTCCTCCTCTTCTTCTTCTTCTTCTTCTTATTATTATTATTATTATTATTATTATTATTATTTGAAACACATCAAGATGAGTCCACAGCAGACAAGATCACTCTGCTGGCTGTTGTATTGGATCACACGTTGGACACTTCCCAAGTGTCTAGGACTGTGTGATGTATCGGTGAGTAATACCTGCAGATCCCAGTAGGGTGGCCTTTTACAGCTGGCAGATAGTAATCTTATCAGCGCCGATTGTGTTTAAGTTCAGGCCAAGGTCTTTAGGCACTGCACCCAGTGTGCCAATTACCACTGCGACCACCTTGACTGGTTTGTGCCAGAGTCTTTGCAGTTCGATCTTTAAATCCTCATATCGTGTCAGCTTTTCCAGTTGTTTCTCTTCAATCCCGCTGTCGCCTGGGATTGCAAAATTGACGATCCACACTCTTTTTTTTAACACGATTGTGAGGTCAGGAGTTTTGATCTCCAAAACTCTGTCAGCCTGAATTCAGAAGTCCCAGAGTAGTTTGACGTGTTCATTTTCTGTAACTTTTTTAGGCTGATGATCCCACCAGTTCTTTGTCACAGGCAGATGGTATTTGTGGCACAAGTTCCATTTAATCATTTGAGCAACGGTGTTATGCCTCTGCTTATAGTCTGTCTGTGCAATCTTCTTGCAGCAACTGAGGATGTGATGTATTGTTTCATCTGCTTCCTTGCGGAGTCTACATCTGGGATCTGTCTTCGACTTTTCAACTTTTCAATTCTGGCTCTGATGGCATTGGTTCTAATGGCTTGTTCTTGGGCTGCCCGAATCAGGCCCTCCGTCTCCTTTTTCAAAGTTCCATTTGTGAGCCACAGCCATGTTTTTTCTTTATCAGATTATTATTATTATTATTATTATTATTATTATTATTATTATTATCATCATCATCATCATATGTATTTATACACTACTTTATCTCCCCCAAAGGGGACTCAAAGCCTAGTAATTAGAATTCATTGGTTGTGTTCTAGTCTCTGGATGGCAGAAAACAAGCTTGCTCCATCTTCCACGTGACATACCTTCAGATATTAAAATATAGTCAGTATATCATGCCACGGTCATCTCTTCTCCGAGTTAAACTCACCCAACTCGCCAAATTATCCCTTAGAATCATAGAATCATAGAGTTGGAAGAGACCTCATGGGCCATCCAGTCCAACCCCCTGCTAAGAAGCAGGAAATTCAAAGCACCCCCAACAGACGGCCATCAAGCCTCTGTTTAAAAGCTTCCAAAGAAGGAGCCTCCACCACACTCCGGGGCAGAGTGTTCTACTGCTGAACGGCTCTCACTGTCAGGAAGTTCTCCCTAATGTTCAGATGGAATCTCCTTTCTTGTAGTTTGAAGCCATTGTTCCACGTCTCCAGGGCAGCAGAAAACAATCTTGCTCCCTCCTCCCTATGACTTTCTCTCACATATTTATACATGGCTACCATGTCTCCTCTCAGCCTTCTCTTCTTCAGGCTAAACATGCCCAGCTCTTTAAGCCGCTCCTCATAGTTCTTGTTCTCCAGACCCTTGATCATTTTAGTTGCCCTCCTCTGGACACATTCCAGCTTGTCAACATCTCTCTTCAATGGTGGTGCCCAGAATTGGACACAATATTCCAAGTGTGGTTTAACCACAAGTCTTAGTTTCTAAGTCTTTGATCACCTTTGCCATAACCCATCCTGTTAAGCTCTTTCTTGAACTATGGAGCCCAGAACTGGATACATCTGTCCAGGGGAGGTCTAACTAGAGCAGAGTAGAATAACAATGCTCCTTTCTATGACCTAGAGCTGAATCTCCAGCTGTCATCAGACTGCCCTTTGGAATCCCCACTGCAGACTCCGGTACCACCGGAGCATTTCTTTGCAGTGAAATAAATGGCCTTGTTGTTTGCTGTAGGAGATGTGCTTTCCAGGACTTAAGAAAGGCACAATGAAGCTGCTAAACAAGTAAAAGGGTAGGGGAAAAAGAAACCAGCGGAGGGTTTTTGTTTTTGTTTTTTGTTTTTTTAGGAAATGAATTTGTAGCATGCATCACATTATGGTCACTAATACTGGGACAGCCTCAGCAAAAATCAAACATGTTCCTTGCTCTCATCGGTGCAACATTCACATGTTTCCCCATCTATTTAGAGTTAGCTGTTTGAGCACAACAGAGAAAACAATATAGCCTCAGTGCTTGCTTGGGTGATATTGTCAGTAGCTGCTGCAGAGCAACAGCGTTTGAAAAGCCATGTAGCCTTTGGCTGATGAGAAATCCCCAATATCTGTGCACTCCTTGTGGCAGAAGACTGATTGGATCCAGTCACTGGCCGGAGGAGAAAGAGCTGTTCTCCCTTCCTTGCCTATCCAAACTCCATCAGCAAGAGGTAGAATAACCTTTACTAGACTTGTGCATTTCAGCTAAACCTTGATCCGTTTCTGCTGGCTGGATTCCGGTAGACCCTTGTATCTGTTTGTGTGCGCATCTCGAAAACAGGCAGGTAGCTGGATAGCTGTTTTCAATCCACAGCCAAAAAATATGGCTAGATCCTGCTCTGTGGCAACAATGGGGAACTTAGAAGGCTCCTTTTTCTGTTCCTGGGACCCTTTCCTTTTTCCCTTCAAGGGAGCCTGGGTTTCAGCAATGAGGTTAAGGAAGCAAACACAACTTGCATAGAACACATCATGGCGTTCTTCTGCTCCAATTGGCTCAGTAGGCAGGGCTCCCAGGGAAACCCTGTGCAAGGAGGAGCACGCGGCAGTCTCTTTGCACGCTGTGTGCTCCCAAAATGGGGAGGAGGAGCTGTGTTTGGCTGCCACATGGTCCCGTTATGCATGGGGAAACTGTTACGGCTGGACCCTTGCCGTTAAAACCAACCAACCAAGCCAAAGAATCTGGATTGGCCAAAGGAAAATGGCTAAAACGGATCCACGCGTAAGCCTAGCCTTGACCAATCACATAAAATACTTTTTAATTTTTTTAAAAAATAGCCACAAGCCTTATGCATGACATTAGAGTGCTGGCAAAGATGGTTCTTGTATCCTATGGGAGATTCTTGTATCCAGTGGCACAGTGGGTTAAACCGCTGAGCTGCTAAACTTGCTGACCGAAAGGTTGCTGGTTCAAATCCAGGGAGCGGGGTGAGGTCCCACTGTTAGCCCTAGCTTCTCTCAACCTAGCAATTCAAAAACATACAAATGTGAGTAGATCAATAGGTAGCAGTCCTGCGGGAAGGTAATGGCACTCCATGCAGTCATGCCAGCCACATGACCTTGGAGGTGTCTACGGACAACGCTGGCTCTTCACCTTACAAATGGAGATGAGCACCACCATCCAGAGTCGGACATGACTAGACTTAACGTCAGGGGAAAACCTTTACCTTTACCTTTGAGAGACAAATTAAAGCTCAGCATCCCTGTTTTCACTTTTCTCTAATGATGTGTGAGGCCCAAAATGTTAGCCACAGATGTAGAAGAGAGGTATGGAGGCACCCCAGTGGGTGATATCACAACCTGAAATGTTTCTTCATGTCATGAGGAAATCCAATATAGGGATTCAATTCTTGTTGATGTCCCTGTGTCAGTCATAACTCTTTGTCCCATGAGAGCTTGCCGTACAGAAACACATAAATCCATTAACCGCTACTGGTAGTTATGAGGATTACTTGAAGGTGAAGTAAATATATTCATATTGAAGAATTAATGTTATAATAATGATTTAATCAGAGTTGCTCATTCCATCTTAAATTAAATTTTTATGTTAGGTATTTGAATTGTTGTCCTGTGCAGCATTACACCGCTCACATTGTTGAAGCCCCACTTGAGTTTTCTCTTATAATTTTGCAATACTTTTCTCCTATTCTGTTCAGGTTGTTTACATTTTGGGAACACCCTGTATTCTCAGCAGACTGAGACATGGGTGTTGTCATACCTAACAACTGATCACATCCACTACAGCAGTCAAGATTAACCTTTCCTCTTTGTTTGTTTCAGGTCCTGCCTCTGCCTTTGCAGACATCCGTCCAACCAATTGTTCTTCCAAGAGGCATACTGGTGAAGATGACCTACGGAAGCGGCTGAAATCCCAGGGCCCGCTGGTACCACCAACGGGAGGTCCCATCCGCAGCTCTTCTGATTACTCCCAAGAGCCCAACATCTATCAGGCAGAGCATCCCGCGCAGGAAGCGTCGGCGTGTTTGGCAAAGAAGGCCTTGTCATTCAGCATGCTCAGTTTCCCAGAAGGCTCTTGCTCAGTATTAGGTCGTGAGCACAAATCAGGCTTGCTGCACCCCTCCGAGACAGCAGACCGATATAAGAGTCTTCACACTCAGAGCAGTACCAAGGCGGACGAGAAGGCCCAAGGACCAGAGGAGGCCGCTGCACACGAGAGAACTGCCAAGACTTTTTCCAATGCCACTCTAGCTTCAGGGAGGTGCAACATTGATAACATCATCTCCCTTTTAAAGAGCAAGTGTGGCAATGGCCGTATCAACCTTTACCCTGTGGTGCAGCTCATAGACATCATGAAGGACATCAACCGCCTTTCGCAGGACTTGAAGAGCTGTGGTGTTCACCTGGATTGTAGCAATTTGCAGGTCAACAGCCACCCGTCCCTCAGTGAGGAAGGGCGGGACCAGGGCCTGCAGTACAGCTTCTACTCCTCACCTGTGCTGGCCAACAGCATCCGTAGCCCTGAGGAAGTCACAGCACAGGACAGTGACAAAACAGAGCTATCTAAACAGACCCAACCCATCCTGTATATGGGAGAATCAGATGAGGGCACTACAGGCGCCCAGTTTCAAGCCTGCCAGAGTAGTCCTGCTTTGAAGGTTCCTGGCAGCCCAGGTGAAGCTAGCAGCTCAGAATCTGATACCACTGACCATACTGAGCTGGCTGATACAGATATCCTGAGTGAACTGGCTTCCTTGGCATGTCCAGGTCCCCAGCTGCTAGAGCCTCAGCCTCTAGAGTCCCATCCCCAGTTGCTACAAAGCCTAGAGTCAAGGTCCCCATTAATTGGTTCACAGACTCTAGAACATCAGCCTCAGCTAGTTGATTCTAAATCTTTAGAGCCTCCTCCAGAACCAATGGCCCTGCAGACTGTGGAGCCACTGCCTGAACCTTTGGGGTTGCAAAGTCTAGAGCCTCTAGAACTGCAGAACTTAGAGCCCTTGTCTGAATCACTGTCACTGCAGTCCCTAGAACCCCTTTCCGAGCCTCTGGGGCTCCAGTCTTTAGGAGCTTTAGACCATCAGTTACTGGACTCCCAAGCCCAGCTTTTGGATCCAGAGGCCCAGCTGCTAGGCTCACTGCCCAAGTTGTTAGACTCCCAGCCCCAAATGGCAGCAGAGGAGTCACTAAGGGTCCATTCCCTACAGCCTGGATCACGCCTTGGAGGCTACTCCCCAAGAGGAGTGGTGAGGCGTGGGGCAGGGCGAGGAAGGGATGACCACAGGAAATACGCTCTGCGGAGAACAGATAAACCAAAGATACTCTGCCGCCGTAGGAGGGGAGGCCGGGGGCGGCGAGCAGAGATAGCCACGGAGACCCGAGTCCTCCCCATGCCCATGCCGGTTGAGGTGGTGATGGCGCAACCTGAACAACCCAAGATGCCAGTGGCTGTAGTGACAGCTCTACCTGTGAATCAAATCGTGGACCCCATGTTTTCTCCCCTGGAGCCTGGAGATGGTGGCCAGCAGGCTGCGCCTACAAACTTGCAACCCCTCAAGCCCAAGTGTCGTGGGGTACGCAGGATGGTGGTGAAGATTGCCAAGATTCCTGTGTCCCTTGGGAGGAGGAATAAGACAACATATAAAGTCTCCTCCCTCAACAGCAACTTGAGCCTAGAAGGCAAAGAACTGACGAGCTGCTCCTCATTGGAGCCAACTCCCCTGCTGAAGATGAAGAATAATGGTCGTAACGTCGTAGTGGTCTTTCCTCCAGGGGAAATGCCCATTATCCTGAAGCGCAAGCGGGGAAGGCCTCCAAAAAACCTGATGTTGGGACCATGCAAGCCCAAGGAACCTACCCCAGAAGTGAAAAAGCGGAGACGGAGGAAACAGAAGCTGGCATCCCCGCAACCCTCCTACGTTGCTGACACCAATGATAGTAAAGCTGACTACTCCGATGTCCTGGCGAAGCTTGCCTTTCTAAACCGCCAGAGCCAGTGTTCTGCTCGTTGCTCCCCACCCCGCTGCTGGACCCCAACTGAGCCAGACTCCATCCACCAGGCCCCTGACACTCAAAGTATCTCCCACATTTTGCATCGGGTCCAAGGTTTCCGCCGGCGTGGTGGCAAAGGAGGTGGCTTTGGACGCGGAGGAGGACATTCTGCCCGCTCACCTCACTGTTCCTTTAGTGATTTCTTTGAAGGAATTGGCAAGAAGAAAAAGGTGGGCCCAGGAGGAGCCATGCATGCCGACCCCATTCACCCACGGAAGAGAGGCCGGCCAGAACCAGATGCCATGGAGAAGCCCAAAAGAAAGAGGAGATCCCGTAAAAATGGGGTGCTGTTTCCAGAACAGAATCCTAACCAGAACTTTGGCGATGGAGCCTCTGACTGGTGTGGAGACAAGGAAAGCCTTTGGATATCCCACCATGGACACCTCTCCAGCCAAACCAACAGGAACTGCAGTTTTCAAGACTCGCGGACCTTTCATTCTTCAGCACTGGAGGCTTGTTCTTCAAGCCGGACCGGTTTTTACAGTGGAAGTAATCCATCCTCACAGTCAGAGCTAAGTCAGGAAAGACAGAATCTTTTCACAGGCTACTTCCGCTCTCTGCTGGATTCAGATGACTCCTCCGATCTGCTGGACTTTGCCCTCTCAAATACACGCTCTGAGTCACGGAAATCCACTAGCACATACACAGCCCCTCCCAATGCCATTGCAACCCAGAGGGGTATGGCATCTTACCCAACAAGGGGAGGAAAAACCACACCCTCTACCACTACTACTGCCACTACTGAGACACCTTTCCATACAGTCATGACCAACCGGCAGTCGTTCCCTCCCAGCAGAGCACCCGGATACAACCTTTCTCAGACTGCTTCTGACTGCCGTGGCTCAGATGCCTACCAGAAGCTGGCATCTCTCTCGGCTGTGTCCAGATCACCCACTGCTCACTCCACCGTGGCCTCTAGCTATGCACAGTATGGCAACTACAGCAGTGGCGGGGGGCAGAGTGTCACTCCCTCTAGCTTGTTCCAGCAAGCCAAGCCCTACCATGCCACACAGGATTGCCCCAACAATAAAGACTGCAGCTTCACCTATGGCAGTGGCAACAGCCTTCCTTCATCACCAAGCAGTGCCCATAGTGCCAGCTATGCCCAGCAGGCTTCAGGTCCCAGCTTGCCATTGAGTAAGGCCTCCTTCTTCAACAGCTCTGACCCCAGCCAGTTCTCCAGCTCCTCCCACACCCCCATGAGATGTGACAGTCGGGCAAGTACCGTGTCTCCAGGTGGCTACATGGTCCCCAAAGGTTCCACTTCTTTTCAGCCCTCCCCTGAAAATTGTCGGCAGTTTCCCAGTGCCTCCCAGTGGGCTTTCCGGCAAGGTTATAGCAACCTGGACTGGAACGCGGAGACATTCAACCAGCTCTACAACCCAGGTTTTGATTGCCATATCAATGAGCCCAATGTCATCCTGGACATCTCTAACTACACGCCCCAGAAGGCCAAGCAGCAGACAGTCTCTGAGACCTTCTCCGAATCCTCCTCTGACAGTACTCAGTTCAACCAGCCAGGAGGTTACAGAAGAGCCAACAGCGAGGCCTCGTCGAGTGAAGGCCAGTCGAGCCTTTCGAGCCTAGAGAAGCTGATGATGGACTGGAATGACTCTTCTTCAGCCCCAGGTTACAACTGGAATCAGAGTGTCTTATTCCACAGCAGCTCCAAGCCAGGACGAGGCAGGCGGAAGAAGGTTGACATATTTGATGCCGCTCACCTGAATTTCTCAACAGGTGCATACCCTTCCAAGAGGGGCACAGGGGCCAGGCAGCCACGGGGTTCCCGAGGTGCCTGTGCCTCTAGGAAAGAGAGAGGCACTGGCAAAAGCAAGTTCCCAACAAAATCCCAGTCGGTGAACCCACCGTTTCAAGACAGTACAGACTTAGGCCTGGACTACTACAGTGGAGACAGCAGCATGTCCCCTTTGCCCTCCCAGTCCCGGGGCTTTGGGCTCAGCGAAAGAGACCCTTGTGACTACACTGGGCCCTACTCCATGAACCCCTCCACCCCATCTGATGGCACCTTTGGACAAGGGTTTCAGAGTGACTCCCCTGGCCTGGGGCAGACGGACCTGGAAAGCAAGCATTTCCCGGCGCTGCCCCACCAACTTGCTGCCCCACCCCCTCCACAGACTGTGTTTGAAGCAGGCTTGCAAAAAGCTTTCTCACCCAACTGCTCCCCAACCCTGGCCTTTAAAGAGGACTTGCGGCCGAGCGACATCCGGAAGCTTCCTGCCTGCGACTCCCTCAAACACGGCATGCAAGGGACTGCGGGCATGCCCCATTCGGGCGTGCACATGACCTGCCGGGATCTGCCTATGTCTCAGCCACACTACGACTCACCCAGCTGCAAAAACCCCAGTTATTGGTACTCCCCCACCTCAAGCACCCGCAGCCCTCCCTATGACAACAAAGCTGGGGTTGGGATGTTGGTGGACTTTATGGGGAGAAGCCCGGATGCCTCCTGCCTCAACCCCCACCTAGCCAGCCCCCCCAACACCAACCCTCCCAAGACTGAGAAAGAGCCCATGGACATGGCAAGGGCTCACCACCGAGGGGCTTACATTTGCCCTTTGATGAATGACTTGAATATCTCCCCAATCCCGAGAGACTCCATGCTGCCGCTCCAGGACAACTATAGGTACCCCAGCTTTGCACCCCAAGGGCACCCCATCATGACTGCGGCCCAAAAGAGTGGGTTTTTGGGTCCAATGCTAGAGCAACATCCGGAAGACACTTTCACAGTCACCTCATTGTAGTGTCATCTGAAGTGCCAACCAGACAACGAGGTTTTGTTTCAGGGTAGGTACCTGAGGAAAAGGTCCGAGGGAAAGGAAAATGCTTGGGTGGGTGTTTTGGGCATGCCATGCAGGTTGCAAAAGGCCTCAGGTGACGGCCATCGAACCTTCCTAGCACAGAGAAGGTGGCGCTGGCCTGAAACAGTTCTTCAACCCTAAGTTACACCTAAAGCCTGAGTGTGTTATTCCTCTGCATGGACCTGAAAGGGAGTTTAAAAAAATCAGTCAAAATTATTAAGGGAAGACAAAGTCCAAGAATATGAAGGGAAGGTGGATAGCTCATCCAAACCTCAAATAACATAATGAAAGGTACCAAGGTCAGCATTGCTTTCAGAAATAGATAGTGATTTGACCATAATTGCCAGGTATAGGAGAAGAGCTTGGAAAAATTACACAAGCCAAAAAATATATCAAACTTTTTGTAATCATCAGAAATGAGAGCAGCACAGTTTAAATCAGTTTTCATTCTGATTTTAAATATCTCTTTATTATTCCCCATCACGTCAACTTTTTGAAATATGACGAATGGTACATTAAAGCAGACTATTGTTAAAATTGCACATTTCACATCATATTTGTGTCACACAAGCCAACAAGTATTTTTCATCAGATATAATGTTAGGTCATTCTTAAAGTTTTTGCACTAAATTCAGATCTGTATTTATTTTTTCTCTATCACGTGTAGTTTTTGCGATGAAGATAATCAAATAATAAATGCATTTATGCACTGATATCAATAGAATCTAATAGATATCAGTACGTAAATGCATTAATTATTCAATTAGCCTCATTGCAAAAACAACACATGATAGAGAAAAAATAAACACAGATCTGAATTCAGTGCAAAAAGCTCTATAAGAATGACCTAAAATTATATCTGATGAAAAATACTTGTTGGCTTGTGTTATGTTTTCAACCACAGTTTCCCCAAATCTAACTTTTCAGAGCTCCTGGTGAGGAAATGTTTGTATGTACATTTCAGCTTTGGGTAAAGGTATAGTCTAGAGCAGCGGTTCTCAAACTTTGCTCCGGGAAACTCTTGAGGCTCTGAAAGAGGTTCTCAGTGGTTCCATGGGTGCCCTACTTCCTCTGGAGTTTCCTCTATTATTACAGTAGAGTCTTGCTTATCTTATAAATGGGTCGGCAGAAGGTCAGATAAACGAAAATAATAATAATAATAATAATAATAATAATAATAATAATAATAATGTAAAATAATGGTAATGTAATACAGTAGAGCAGTGGTTCTCAACGTTCCTAATGCTGCGACCCTCTTAATTCATTTCCTCATGTTGTGGTGACCCCCCAACCACAACATTATTTTTGTTGGGACTTCATAACTGTACTTTTGTTGAAGTTATGAATCATAATGTAAATATCTGATAGGTAGGATGTATTTTCATTCACTGGACCAAATTTGGCACAAATACCCAATACACCCAAATTTGAATACTGGTGGGGTTGGGAGGGGGGATTGATTTTGTCATTTGGGAGTTGTAGTTGCTGGGATTTATGGTTCATTTAAATTAAAAGAGCACTCTGAACTCCACCAATGATACAATTGAACCAGACTTGGCACACATCACTCTCATGATCAACAGAAAATACTAGAAGGGTTTGGTGGGCATTGACCTTGAGTTTGGAAGCTGTAGTTCACCTACATCCAGAGAGCACTGTGAACTCAAACAATGATGTATCTCTACCAAACTTGGCACAAATATTCTATTGTCCAAATGAGAACACTGGTGGAGTTTGGGGAAAATAGACCTTGACATGTAGGAGTTGGAGTTGCTGGAATTTATAGTTCACCTGCAATCAAGGAACATTCTGAAGCCTACCAATGATACAATGCGACGAAACTTCCTACAAAAGAACCCCATAACCAACATAATATACTGTGTTTTCTGATGGTGTTTGGTGACCCCTCTGACACCCCCTCGCAATCCTCCCAGGGGTCCCGACCCCCAGGTTGAGAAACATTGCAGTAGAGTGATTCTTATCTGACATAAATGGGCCAGCTGAACTTTGGATAAATGAAAATGTCAGATAATACAGAGTCTCCTACTGTTACCTGTCTGACACAGCACTAGACACCTAGAATACTAACAACAGGACTGAAAGGATGCAGTGGTTCTCAACCTGGGGTCCCCGGATGTTTTTGGCCTTCAACTCCCAGAAATCCTAACAGCTGGTAAACTGGCTGGGATTTCTGGGAGTTGTAGGCCAAAAACATCTGGGGACCCCAGGTTGAGAACCACTGGATTAAGGCAAGGCAATGCCTTGGAGCTGGAGCGGTCCAGCGGGAAGTGCCCGGATTCGAAAGAGGAGCATGGAAATCACAGAAGGAAGGAGGGAGGACGCTTCTGCTTCTGGTCCTGCCTCTTTTCCCCTTTTCTTTCCTCCTCCTCCTCATCTTGTCTTTTTCACTTATTGGAAATGGAGAGAGAGTTGGGTAGCACTCCTTTAATTGAAGGAGAAATGCTAAAGGAAAAGGAGATTGTTGGAGAAGGGCATTGGATAAGACGGAATGTCAGATAAGCAAAGGTTGGATAAGCGAGACTCTAGTGTATTATTATTATTGTTATTATTATTACAAAAGCTGAAAGACCATCTGCTGAGGGTGTTTGGTTGTGTTTACCCTGCTCGGCAGAAAGGGTTTAGGCTGGATGGCCCTGGGGGTCTTCCACTGAAATACTGTTTAGTTTATGTTGGTTAAAATTTTCTGGAGTGAAGTGAGCTCCAGCTGTTAGACCCAGCTTCTGCCAACCTAGCAGTTCAAAAACATGCAAATGTAAGATGATAAATAGGTGCCACTTCTGCGGGAAGGAAACAGCACTCTATGCAATCATGTTGGCCACATGACCTTGGAGGTGATTATGGACAACGCCAGCTCTTTGGTTTAGAAATGAAGATGAGCACCAACCCCCAGAGTCAGACACAACTAGGGAAACCTTTACCCTTACCTGGTTAAAATTGTTATTCATTTTAAATATTGTAGTTATGCATTTATTTATTTATTTATTGTGCTGTGAATTATTTTACAAAAACACACTCCATCTACCTGCCACTGGCCTGACCCATGCCTGATATATATACATTATATATAATATAATGTATAATATAATGTGTAAACATTTATTTGGGTTCAATGAGAAACTTTTGCTTCAAAAACAGCTCCACAGCTGAAAAAGGTTGAGAACCCCTGTCTACAGACTTAGACATCTTGCCACTAATAGCAAGGCAGATGTGGAACACAATGAGACAATTTTGTGACAGTAAAATACATCCTTTTGTCTCCATCCCAGAATGGCCGCATTCTTTCTGTAGTGGTGAAGAGTGGTGATGTACCTGAAAATGCTAGTCTCTAGGACAGTGTTTCTCAACCTGAGAACTGGGACCCCTGGGACGGTCGTGAGGGGGTTTCAGAGGGGTCACCAAAGACCAACAGAAAACATATATTTCTGATGGTTTTAGGAATCCCTCTGGGAGAAAAGGCTGAAGATCTCTCCGCCTGCACTTCTCTTCCTTTTTGGGAACAGATGTTGAATCCTCCCATCAAAGGCCCTCCTCCTGATGTGATTGGCTGGTCTCTCAGCCAAGGGGAGGGCTGTTTCTGAGACTCCAAGCAAGGAGGGGAGAGCATGTGAGGTTGGAGGGAGGCCCGTGCTAGCGAGATCCTTCTTGACATTGGGGTTCTATGTGGGAAGTTTGACCCAATTGTATCGTTGGTGGGGTTCAAAATGCTCTTTGATTGTAGGTGAACTATAAACCCCATGAACTACAACTCCCAAATGCCAAGATCTGTTTTCCTGAAACTCCACCAGTGTTCACATTTGGGCATATTGAGTATTTGTACCAAGTTTGGTCCAGACCCATCACTTTTTGCATCCACAGTGCTCTCTGGATGTAGTTGAACTACTACTCCAAAACTCAAGGCCAACTCCCACCGAACCCTTCCAGTATTTTCTGTTGGTCATGGGAGTTCTGTGTGCCAAATTTGGCTCAATTCCATCGTTGGTGGAGTTCAGAATGCTTTTTGATTGTAGGTGAACTAGAAATCCCAGCAATTACAACTCCCAAATGACAAAACCAGTAACCACCCCCTCCCCAACCCCACCAGTATTCAAATGTGGGTGTATTGGGTATGTGTGCCAAATTTGGTCCAGTGAATGAAAATACATCCTGCATATCAGATGTTTACATTACAATTCATAACAGTAGCAAAATTACAGTTACGAAGTAGCAACGAAAATAATTTTATAGTTGGGGTTTACCGCAACATGGAAAAATTTATTAAGGGGTTGTGGCATTAAGAAGGTTGAGAACCACTGCTCTAGGATAACAGAGGATCCTGGGCACCCATCTTCAAGGTACACAAACAGCCCTCCAAGAGTATATAAAGTATGCAGACATGCTGGGTACAAAACTAAGACGCTTGCTTGCTGTAATGTATAAATGACCTCTAAATCTAGGATCAAAGTAAAACCTTTTAAGTGTAAACCCTATAAATTGCAGTGGGACTTTCAAGGCTCACCGTTTTATTATAGCCTAAGTTTTTGTAGATTACAGTCCACTTCCTTAGATAAAGGAAATACAACATTAGAGGCTCAGGTATATGCAGTGCACATGATTGAAAAGGAGGTGCTGAGTGGTAAAATACAGAAAATACTGACAAAATTATGTGATTTGCTTTGACTTTTGTTCAACACTCTGCCCTCAACCATGCTGTAATCTGAACAAAGATTTTACTCCATATGTTTGAGAATTGCCATTCACAACTCAGAATGCTAGAATATATCCATTGGGCATAAAGATGCCACAGCACTCTTGTTGTTTTGCTGCAACAAACTAACACAATTGCCTCTTTGGAGACAGTGAAACATTTGCTATTAGGCTTTAGGTAAGGCATGGGCAAACTTCGGCCCTCCAGGTGTTTTGGACTTCAGCTCCCACAATTCTGAACAGCCAGTAGGCTGTTAGAAATTGTGGGAGTTGAAGTCCAAAACACCTGGAGGGCCAAAGTTTGCCCATACCTGCTTTAAGTGCATGCCCAAACTTGAGTGGGTTCTGAACTATGCATCAGCCAAGGTGTTGGAGGACCTGCAGTGAAGAGACAAAGTGAAACAGTTGCCAAGAATACCTTCTTAATGGGTCCATTCACTCATTAATTGCCATGGCTCAATGTTATGGAACCATGAGAGTTAAAGGGTGCTAAGGGTTGTCACCAGTTAGAAATAAAGTAAAATATGAATATAGGTCCTCCTCCTCCTCCTTCTTCGATGTGCATTGCTCATTGTGCTAGTGGTGAGCACATCTGATGGATTTGGCAAATGATTTTCAGCATCAAAAGACAAGAAAACGGAACAAGACCTCTATGTCCTCTTTTGCTTTTCAAGTTTTGCTTTTCTTCATTTTTCTAACCAGGAAATTATATATGAACGCAAGGCTTTGTGTGCAAACATTCAACAGAAGCCCTCACCCATTAAACTGAGCAGTGTCCAACGTCACTATTCTCAGGGCCCATTCCCTATTATTCAGGGTACAGGGATACTTGTATGTGTTGTACTCTGAGACATTTCTGGCCTAGAACCCAATTGCAATATATGCTCATATATAAGTCAACCTCACATGCAAGTCGAGGGCAGGTTTGGGGTCCAAAATTATGAATTTTAATATGATCCATGGATTAGTTCAGATTGCACATGGTAGCTCACATGGTTGAATGTTTCTCCATGTCTCTCCATGGTGATGGTGATGATGACAACAGTGGTGGTGGTGATTATGATATTAGCCTAGTTCATGGTCCATGGTACTTTCCATCACTGTTGAGCAGGCATGGGCAAACTTAGTGGTATCAGGGCAAGGCATGTAACACATAGTGCTATCCATGAGCAAAATGATGGAGGAGGAATACAAGTAGTTCAATGGCTTCAATTGATGTCCCTCTATCATCTGCTGCCTAAGACAGGTGCCTCCCTCTGCTTCAGTTGTGATCCAAATCAGGAGTGCCATGTCTTCCTCCAGTGATCATTTTTAGTATATATGTGTGTGTTCTTTAAACAGTGATTTTACATCAGTGTCTTGAGACTTTCTCTGTCCACACTTCACTTCCTTGTCTGTTTGCAGCACAACCCACATGGTGGGGATGCCATGCAATGTGTTTTAACTTGTAAAGCATTGCTAGAAGAAGATGGAGGACAGAAAATGAGGTCGTTGCTTTTGGTGACAGGTACACAGACATACAACCTTAAACGACCTCTCCTCAACCATACATAAAATGACAACCACCATACCCCAGAATGTCATATTTCATAGGATCAGGCCCATAGCCAGAAAAAAAATTGGGAGGGTTTGAAACTCCCCGCCCCCCAGATGACCTTTCAAGCCAGCGTCTCCTGATCTGGCACAACATCTCAAAACGGCCTTGAAATGATAACATTGTGCAAAAGTTTTCACAGATTATAGGACCTGAATCCTTGCTCCCTCTTTAAGCCCGTTTTTGTTGACCACAAAGGACCATAGTTTCCACAATTGGCAGAAGTTTCTTTTTGTTTTCTTCTGCTTTCTCCTTATTTCCTTTACACGATGACAGGTTACATCAAGTTGTTTTCCACTGTGAATTAGCAAGAAGTTTTCAGCCAAGCACAAGTTGTTCTGATGGTACTCTGTTTTTTGGTGTCCATTGAAGGACCTTTCCACACTGCCCTTTATTCCAGGATCTCATTCCAGATTATCTGCTTTCAACTGGAATATATGAGTGCCCACTGTCAGATCTGAGATATACAGATGATCTGGGATCAGATCCTGAGATAAAGAGGCAGTGTGGAAGGTCCCAAAGACTTCTGTTGCATTTCTTCATCGCATCAATATTTTAGCAACTAATGCACCAAGCTTCTGATGACCACCTTTACCCCCAACTTCAAACACCACACAGTACTTACAGAGTGCACCTTGTAAAACAGTGGTTCCCAACCTGTGATCTATGGACCACCAGTGGTCCACAAGAACGAAAATATGGTCTGCGGCCTCACAATTACTACACCATTGGCTTGAAGCTACACAGCAACGAGCATGACTAGTCTTGCAAAACCCTCTTCTAGTGCTGAGGCAATTGGGATATTGGGAGGGAGAGGCTGACAACCCACAAAAGATTACTATTACCAAATCAGCTCTAGATTATTAAATATGGTTTTCTGTGGGCAAGTAGATGGCATATGTTCTGCATCAGAAAGTAGAGCTGTTGTGGCCTATCCAAAGCAATTTCTATATCAGCACCCCAAATAACCAAGCCCAGTCTAAAGTTTCCAAAAACTTATTTGTAACCCTTTTGGTACTAATGTTGGAGAGTGATCCCTGGTCAAAGTGGTCCCTGGTCAAAAAAAGTTTGGGAACCACTGTTGTAAATGAAATGTGTAGGCTATCCAGGGAAATCTGCTGAACCATTTGGATTGAAAACATAGGTGCCTCATCTTATCTACAGGAAATACATATCCTGGCAATGGAGTCTGTGGAATTTGCACTAATTGAGCTTTCACTTGGTCACCAGAAACAGTCTTGTTCATATAAAGTCCAAGGTCTAACAGGGACACAGCTTCATGTCTTCACTCTTGTTCCATAGTTTTTTGGCAGGGCTTCAATTAGGTGAATCTGTCGCAGACATCTCAGTTTGCACCTACAATCCAGGTCAATCCCCTGCCCACTCCACCCTACCCTGCACCTTAGTCTTTGCAGGTAGGCCAACTTGGTCACATCCACCATGTCAGCTATTGTAGCTATTGCAATATAAATTGATAGAAAGGTAGGTAATGGTAGTGTGAATAATCAAAATTTGTGCTTGCGGTTCTGCAGTTTCTTGTAGACTTGGCATGGGGATTTTGTTAACCAGTTAAAATTCATGAGTAAACCTGAAAATCTGCGAGTGGTTTAAATCCCTAAACTGCCCCCTTTGCTACGGGCTTGCTTAGGGTGTTGGATTTTACAGTTGAATGACCTGAGTTGAAACCTTGAGTAGACAGAAAGTTTGTCAGGTGCCTTTCCTGTTTGGTCACTGTTCCTCTAGCTGATCTTCCTCACAATGTGTTTTGTGATGTTCAGATGAGTGAAAGCCCCTTAGACGAAAAGTAGTATGTTAATGTAATTCGCTCATCTTCTGTTACAAGCAACACAAGGCAAAATGTTAGCCACAGCTTAATTAAAATTAAATAGTGCCTACAAAGGGTGTTTAGCATATGAGCCACTAGCTGGCTACTTCTAAATACTGTATATACACAATTGTAAGCCTAGCTTAAGTGACTCAAAGTTATGTATTGTTTTGTGTTATGTATTATTTTACTCTGTTATTATTATTTTATTACATTTATTATTTACTCTATTATTACTGGTATTACAGTAGAGTCTTGCTTATCCAACTCTCATTTATCCGACATTCCGTCTTATCCGACACCCTCTTATTCCTCCAGCATTTCTCCTTCAATTAAAGGAATACTCCCCAACTCTCTCTCCATTCCCAATAAGTGAAAAAAGGCAAGACAAGGAGAAGGAGGAAGGAAGAGGAAAGGGGGAAAAGAGGCAGGACCGGAAGCAGAAGTGTCCTCCCTCCTTCCCTCTGTGATTTCCACGTTCCTCTTTCGAATCCAGGCACTTCCTGCTGGACCACTCTAGCCCCAAGGTGTTGCCTTGCCTTAACCCTTTGAATCCCTGTTGTTAGTATTCTAGATGTCTAGCGCCATGTCGGACGGGTAACAGTAGGAGACTCCATATTATCCGACATTTTCATTTATCCGAAATTCTGCTGGCCGATTTATGTCAGATAAGCAAGACTCTACTGTATTACATTACCATTATTTTACTGTATTATTATTATTATTATTATTATTATTATTATTATTATTATTACATTTATTATTGTACTCTTTATTATTATTAGAAGGATATGTAAGCAGATTTACATGGGAGAATGTTAGAATAATAGCTTAATCAGAGTTGGGCAGTCTTAAATTACAGTTTTATGTAAATATTCAAAAACATTTAACATACAGATGCCTCAATTAATGTAATTGTATTGGTATCATTTTTATTTTGAAATTCACCAGTAGCTGCTGCATTTCCCACCCTTGGCTTATACTCAAGTCAATACGTTTCCCCATTTTTTGTGGTAAAATTAGGTGCCTTGGCTTACATTCGGGTCGGCTTATACTCGAGTATATACAGTAAAGGCAGCCTGGGATTGTCCAAAGTATTCAGTAGATGTTTTCTAAAGGGCCACTGCATCCTAGATTCCAATACAAAGATTTGTCGGGGGAAATTTTGATTGGTCCTTGCTGTTCTGTGTTCCTAAATGAAAACAGAAAGGGTGATGTTTTAATCTGTGTTTCTTTCCCATTTTCTCTCCCCTCCCTCCTTCTATACCTCTCTCTCTTTCAGAGTACTTTAGCCAGCACTTTTTCTGGAACACTTTTCAAGTTCTGTATTTAATGGAAGTCAAACGCTGATCTTTTTGTTCATTTGTTGGTTCTTTTGGAATTTTTTTTCTTTTTCTAAAAAAAAAAGATTGGAAAGAGATGGGAAGGAAAGGAAGAAAGAATGAAAGTGGAAAGAAGAAAGGAAGAAAAGAAAAATATATTTGGTGGGGAAAAAATAAACGATAAACTTGCTTTATTTGGGAATGGCATGGAGGCAGTTTTGTTTTAACCAGACTGCGTCGTCGGCCCCCTTCCCACCCCCCATGCCCCCCATCACCCCCTCCCATCCAATCCAGCAAAAAGACAATCGAACGGTTCCAGCCACCACCCGGGCGGAGTGTGAGAACACGAGGGTCCCCATGTTCCTTCTCGCCAGCCAGCCTCCCACCCACGGCATGCATACGAGGAACACACCGGAAGGCAGCAGACAGCAACCCAGGCAGGCCACGGAGGAGAGGACATTTATTTTTTCCTTCTTTCAGCAGGGGAGGGGTAAGGATGGGAGGAAATGACAGTAGTCTGTAAACTCAAATGCAAACTCAGTAATGAAGACTGGACACTTGGCATTTTCCTCCTCATCATCTCCCACCCCTTTCTCTTGTGCGGGTTTCTTTTTTTTTTTTCCTCCCAGTTTGTTTGCCTGCATTCTTTTTTTTAAAAAAATGCTTTTGTTGCTTCATTTTGTTGGAGAGCCCAGGAATTTTTACAAGTCTGTGAATGGATCTTGGAAACGCCATCACTTTTCAGTAAGTAACGATTGCCCATCTCCTTGGCATTTTGTTCCATGCCATTTGCTAAGACAGTGTTTCTCAACCTGGGAGTCAGGACCCCTGGGGGGGGGGGTCGCAAGGGGGTTTCGGAGGGGTCGCCAAAGACCATCAGAAAACACATTCTCTTTCGAATCCTCCCACCAAAAGCCCTCCTCCACTGTGATTAGCTGGCCTCTCAGTTGACCTCTCAGCCAAGGGGAGGACTATGTATTGTCGAAGGCTTTCATGGCCAGGATCACTGGGTTGTTGTAGGTTTTTCTGGGCTATATGGCCATGTTCTGGAGGCAATTTTCTCCTGACGTTTCGCCTGCATCTATGGCAAGCATCACTACCTCTGAGGATGCTTGCCATAGGTGCAGGCGAAACGTCAGGAGAAAAATTGCCTCCAGAACATGGCCATATATCCCGGAAAAACCTACAACAACCCAAGGGGAGGACTGTTTATGAGACAGGGGAGAGCAGGCATGCTTGGCGCATGGCAGTTAGGTTCGCATGTATGGAGAGCGTGCGAGGCTGGAATGAGGCGCCAGCAAGTCCCCTCAAGGCATAGGAGTTCTGTGTGGGAAGTTTGGCCCAATTCTATCATTGGTGGAGTTCGGAATTCTCTTTGATTGTAGGTGAACTATAAATCCCAGCAACAACAACTCTCAGATGTCAAGGTCTATTTTCCCCAAATTACACCAGTGCTCACATTTGGACATATTGAGTATTCATGCCAAGTTTGGTCCAGATCCATCACTGTTTGAGTTCACAGTGCTGTCTAGATGTCGGTGAACTACAACTCCAGAACTGAAGGTCAATGCCCACCAAACCCTCCCAGTATTTTCTCTTGGTCATGGGAGTTCTGTGTGTCAATATTGGTTCAATTTCCTCATTGGTGGAGTTCAAAATGCTCTTTGGTTGTAGGTGAACTATTAATCCCAGCAAGTGCAACTCCCAAATAACCAAAGTGTGATATGATTAATAATAATAATAATAATAATAACAATAATAATATTGTTTCTTAGCTGTCTCTCCACAGCTCAAGGCGAGTCACAGTTAAAAACACACAAATACAATAAAAAATTCTACAAACACACATTCAAATTCAGTTCCCTAAAAGATGCAGATCAAAGCATTTCTGTAAAATACTCATTAATCACACAGGATGAAACCAAAACACAGGACATGAGTGTAAAATTCATCCTATAAGACTGGCCGAATCAGCCTGCCAGAAGAGAGAGGCCTTTAAATGATTTTAAATTCCAACAGCTGATCTAGCTTTTGGAGCTCTACAGGCAGGTCGTTCCACAATCTTGGGGCGACCGATGAAAATATCCTAATTATTATATTATTTATACCCTGCTGTATCTCTCCCAGAGGAGACTAAAAGTGGCTTGACATAAAAGCATTAGCATACAATTTCAAATACATAAATAGGCAAACATTCAAACAGAATTAAATATAAACAGTATTGAAAAAAATCACAGTTGAAAACCATTAACCATAGACATGCTGATGATATCCAGTCAGAACTTGCAAAAGTTGCTCTCTTTTAAAATAAAGTACTGGTCTCTTTCACTCCTTGCATTCAGCACAGCATAGATGGATGACGTGTTGATATGCTGACAAAGGCGGCAATAAGCTAAAAACATAAAATGATGTTAGATTTCTCGAAGCCGGACCTCTACAATGTTCAAAATGCCCCAGTCAGCACAACCATTGCCATGTTGGTTTTGCAGGAGAACCTGGCAGGTGTGCTCAAAAATAACATTTCCATGTTATACACCCAGTTCTTTCTCTCCTTTTTATCTTATCCCGGTGAGACAGTGGGTATTCTAAATCAATGCATGTATGTCATAATGAACTGGATGAAAGTCAATAAACTGACGCTCAGTCCAGATCAGGCAGTGGTACTTCTACTGCATAATTCATTGGCCCAGGTGAGTGGTATTCGCTCCGAGTCCCTTTGGAGAGATGGGGCGAGATACTCAAGCTGCCTTGAATCTCCTCTAGGAGTGAGAAAGGCGGGATAGAAATGCCGTAAATAATAAATAAATAAATAAATAAGTTTATTATTATTTTACTGACAAAAAAACACAAAACGAGATATATATGTTGGATTTCATGTCACAAAATCACAAGTCGAACACAATCCAAGCATTTAGGACTGTGTTTATATTATTATTATTATTATTATTATTATTATTAAGCTTGTGGAGAAATAATAATAGTAGTAGTAGTAGTAGTAGTAGTAGTAGTAGTAAGGAGCTCCTGGTGGCGCAGTGGGTTAAACCCCTGTGCCAGCAGGATTGAAGACCGACAGGTTGCAGGTCCGAATCCGGGGAGAGGCGGATGAGCTCCCTCTATCAGCTCCATCTCCTCATGCGGGGACATGAGAGAAGCCTCCTACAAGGATGATAAAAACATCAAATCATCCAGGCGTCCCCTGGGCAACGTCCTTGCAGACCGTCAGTTCTCTCACACCAGAAGCGACTTGTAGTTTCTCAAGTCGCTCCTGACATGACAAAAGTAGTAGTAGTAGTAGTAGTAGTAGTAGTAATACCCTCTATTTATATTCCGCCATTCTCCCCTAGGGGACTCAGAGCGGATTACAGCATTTACATACAGAGGCAAACATGCAATGCCTTTATGATCAGATACAAAGACACACAAACACAAACAAAGGCAGAGGCTTCTCCTTTCATTTCCAATTTCTGGAGGTGGTGCTCATCTCTGGCTCTGGGGAGGTGCTTTCTCCATTTTCAAGCCGAGGAGCCTGCATTGTCACTGCCTTTTCCTGCTGAAGCAGTACCTATTTGTCTACTCACATTTGCATGTTTTCGAACTGCTAGGTTGGCAGGAACTGGAGCTGACAGGCGGGAGCTTGCCCCTTCTGGCAGATTTGAACTGCCGATCTTCAGGTCAGCAGTTCAGCCAACCTTCAGGTCAGCAGTTCAGCAGCACAAAAGTTTAACCCACCGCAGCACCAAAAATTGTGTTCATAGCTGATTTTATCTTTTGTTGGGGTAGATATGTTCTTTCAGCCTTTGTCTCTAGAAGTGCAAGTGGCCTTGATAAGTTGGCACTCCATTTACCACTTTAGGCTGATGCAACAAGTCCAGAACTATTTGGTCTTAAAATGGATCTACACTGCTATATAATCCAGATTATCAAAGCAGGTAATCTGGATTTTATATTACACAGTGACCTCCAGTTTGGACTACTGCCATATGTCATTCATGAACCTCTGAAAATAGTGCAGAAACATCTTTCCAAAATAGGGCAGTAGGGTTGCTACCCTGAGACTGGCCAATATGTCATATCATATCAGTGCTTTTCTTCTGCAGTTATTTTATGCCTTAGTACAAATTGCTAGTCCTAAATGGCTGAGGGGTCAATGTTTATTTGAAGGATCACATTTCATGTACTACGGGGACAGGATGTGATGATATTCTTCTGAAGCTTTGGTGCCCACACAGGTGAGATGTGATGAATGGTTACTAGAGAAGATCACCAATGGAAGTATGAGTTGTGGAATGCCCTCTTTTGGCAGACTGAGTTGTTCTTTTTGCAATCTTTCTAGTCCCAGTTGAAGCCTGTTTAATTGTCAAAGGAGTGGGTTGCTGTGAGTTTTTTGGGCTATATGACCATGTTCCAGCCGCATTTTGGAACGTGAAGAGAATGCTGCTGGAGCATGGCCATACAGCCCGAAAAACTCACAGCAACCCAGTGTTTCTGGCCATGAAAGCCTGTGACAAGACATATATCAAAGGAGTTTCAAGTCAGAGTGTATGCAAAATTCTTTGCATTCGTATAACCTCGCAAAAGTTTTTATTGTTATTTTGGTTTCATGATGGTGTTAGACAGAGGCGGCCCTAGGTAATTTTCAATGGTAAGCAAAAAGTATTTTGCCCCTTCACCCCCCAACCAATCACTGATATATATTTTCTGTTTGTCGTGGGAGTTCTGTGTGCCATATTTGGTTCAATTCCATCATTGGTGGAGTTCAGAATGCTCTTTGATTGTAGGTGAACTATACATCCCAGTACAACTATACAACTCGCATATGTCAAGGTCCATTTTCCCCCAAAAGCGCCTCAAGATGATATTATATGTATTATTGAGGAACCAAATAAAAATCTGGAAAGATGGATGGAGGCGATTAACGAATTCGGAATGGTAGCAGGGTTTAAATTGAATTTAGACAAAACAGAAGCAATAACCAAAAACATATCAAAGAAAAAAATAGAACAAATTAAAGAAATATGGAAAATAAAAATAGTTTCAAAGATAAAATATCTAGGGATTACAATTACACCAAAAAACTCACAACTATTGGAAAACAACTACACAAAAACATGGAAGGAAATAAAAAAGGATTTAGAAAATTGGAAAAATCTAAAAATATCACTATTGGGAAGAGTATCATGCATAAAAATGAATGTGCTGCCGAGAATGCTATTCCTATTTCAAAATCTACCGATAATCAGGAACCAAAAAGGATTTACAGAGTGGAATAAAGATATTAAAAAATTCGTATGGCTAAAAAAGAAACCAAGGATAAACTTTAAAAATTTAACTGATGAGAAGGAAAGAGGGGGACTAACACTTCCAGATTTGAGAATATATGCAGAGGCATGCGCCCTAGCATGGGCTGCAGATTGGATCCAATTGAGAAAAGAAAAATTATTAAACCTAGAAAGCTATGATCTGAGAAGAGGGTGGCATGCGTACGTTTGGTACGATAAGTTAAAGGTAGAAAAAAAAATTGGGAATCATTTTCTAAGGGCGGCAATTATAAGAACATGGAATAAATACAAGAGAAGGATGTACGAGAAGACACCTGATTGGATCTCTTCCCTAGAATCATGCCAAAGGAAAGAACTAGGTTGGACTAAATGGCCGAAATATAAAGATGTATTAAAGACAGATAGGGAAGGAAAAAGCTTAAAATCAATGGAGGAAATTAAAGAAACATACAAAAATATAACATG